CGCGGCAGGGAGAACAACCCTCGCTGAGACGATTGTTGATTTGGAAATCTTTTTTTTCTACTCACTCTGGAGCATGCTGGAAAAGCTGATGATGCCCAGGAGCGTGAATGACTCACTTGAGTTTGCAATTGAACCAGTGAGTAAATAAATGAGATGAAATTCAGTCCTTGACCCAACAGCTGGTGGTCAGTACCAAAATGTTAGGGCCTCTCCAGGATCCATCCATGTCCCTCACCTGTGCACATGAATCCTTGGTTAGAGGTGACAGCAACCAGCAGGAGATGTTGTGTGCAGACTTGGCAGTTTGATGTATAGGTGGTGGGTGGCTGGAGGTACAATGGGTTAACAACTGGGTTAAAAAGTGCAGGAGACATGAAGAGCACACATTTAGAATTAAACATTAAAAATATACATTAAAATATACCGACGGTTTCATTCATTTGGGTCATAGACCGAAACAATTTGCCATTAAGAGGCTTTTTATCTAGCAAATGTATTGGTCATGATCAGATGAATCATAGCTCTGAATAAGCAATCGGTGATATCGGTCCTGCCGGTCTGTGTTCTGTGGTATGAGTCATTATTGCCCCTTGTTTACTCTTGAATTATCTGAATGACAAAAAAAAGTCAGCTTGACCCTCTACTGGTCCTCTAACATTTAAATCAACCTCTGACATGATCTGAATCTGATCCTTAAACACAAGATTTAATACCTAAACTAGAAGCCTGCTTTTGAAATGTTGCAGGTGATTATGAAAAGATGAACTTTCTGAAGTGATTCATCTGTTCTAGTCAGTGTAAATATTTAGAAATATTACATAATCATAATGAAAATTGTTAAATTAACAGTAGTTGTAGCTGTTTGATTTGAAAAAAAAGTGATTTCCTGTGACTGAGTTGGGACCCAGGGCTTTATAAAGAGGCCACCAGTGATATTGGATGTCCCAGACATCTATAATAATGTCACCTGCCTCCTTTAATTTTAAAAACGTGAAGCAGACACTGACATTACCCACTAATATAAGCTCTAACAATGTGTCCGCAGACGATATTATTTTTCCTGTGTCCCCCACCACCCACTCCCCCACTCGCTACACAACAAGCCAGTGTTAAAGATTAATGCAAACAGTCACTGCCTGATCTGGGAGCATGTGCAGACTCTTTATAGGGGCGATCAATGTTGGTCTGAGGTTATTAGTCAGCGAGCCTCCTGATTATGCACTGATTGTGAATAGATTGCCCCGGCGCTGCAGCCTCACTCCATACCTCCGCTCTGCAATCCGTTTCTGCAGTGAAGAGTGAAAATTAAAGTGAATGTGGAGGAGGAGGAGGAGTCCTCGCTGGAGAGTGGGAGAGGGGAGAGGGGTAGGGGTGGGGGTGGAGGAGGTGGAGGAGGAGGAGGAGGAGGAGAAAGAGTTAGATACCAGCAACACAAGCAGATAGCGTATAGCTTGCCCTGGAAGAGCAGAGGCTTCGGTGAAAAGAAGAGCATGAGCGTCTTCACAGAGCGGCTCTGCTGGGAGTGTCGTTCCTAATCTGAGCAGAGCGTTGAAGCTTTGGATACTGTCCATCATCATCAGCCCGGTAGGTTTATCACACTGCATCTGCCTGATCTGCATGCTGATCCTGCTGTTTGTGCAGAGTAGAAAATATCTGAAAGGATCTATGCAACATTTGCAGTTCAAATGTATGACACACAATGAGCATTTCCCTTTTCATTATTTGATTACAGGCTGCAGAAATGTTATTGCTTTGCAGGTATCTAAAGTTTGGCTGTTAATCTTCACTCCACAAGAGCCTGAGGGAGATTTGATGTCATGCATCTTATTCTAGCTCTGCTGCTTATTGATAAAAGGGATGCAAAACAATGCTGATGCAATGTGTTGCCTTATCTGTGCTAGCTCATCAGTTTTAGTGCTGAAGCCTCTCCTGTCAAAATGTTTTCCCACACAGTCGGTGCTACATCCCCATCACCCCCTCCCCTCCTCCCTCTCGTCCTCCTCCTCCTCCTCCTCCTCATCTGTGGTACTGCTGTTTTCATTAACCATTGTTTCCTATAAAAAATTCTGATTATACCATCACATCCGTCACACATCCGAGTTCAGCTAAAGTCTGGAAATTCTACAACCTGTCAGGTCCCACACACACTCACACATTACCAGCTCATGAAGGTCTTGTAGGTCTATCCCTGTTCTCCCCAGAGACCCTTGCAAATGCTCTGCACAGAGTCTTAGCCCTGATATCCCACTGCAGTCGGAGATTTAATATCAGTCCAGATTTGTCCTCCTTTGTTGGGGGGGGGGCACACCGGTAAAAGGGGCTGCTAAAGTCAGGCTTGGAAACAAAGCAATGAGGACAAATCCTCTGCAGCAACCACCAGCTAATGCTATAACCCTTCCTCATTAATAGACTAACACTATAATAACAATACATTCCCACGACTATTATCTCCACTTTTAAGTGTTTTTTATTTGCCATTGACTGTGATTAGTACAGCCTCTTCATTTTGCTCTTAGTCACGATGCTGATTATGCAGCCAGAATAGCGGCAGAGTTTATACTCAAAGGATGTTGAAAGTTTAATACTGTTTAATAATTAATTCTAAAGGTGGTTATTGCTGAGATTTGAGGAATAGAAGCATAAAAGCCTGAGGATGACTTCAAATGATGTCACAAAACATTTATAGTGTTTTTTTTTTTTTTAATCTACCCTGTGGTTTTGCTTTTCAGTCCTTAAAGGGAAATCATCTCTGTGATTTCTTTATCGTTTCTAGGGAGACAACTGGCAAAATAAAATCTAATCTGTTCATCTACAAGTAGGTTTGTTGCAGTCTGAGCTTCTCTGTGCTGCAATGTCATTTCAGCTCCATTAATTTTACAAGCACAATCACAGTTGTACTGCCACAGATATGAGGCATGAATTAATCATACCTTTTAATCTAGGTAGGTCAGTCAGAAACCTTGAGTCTTGCTTTAAGGTGATTCCATAAAAAAAAAGCATTTTTATTTTTTTAGACTCAAAAAATTGTGGTGGATGTAGCTTGAGCTTGACGTTATCAAATATTTAGGATCAATCCTTTTTTCCAGCCACTTTCATGACTGGAAATTTGCAACCACAATACAAATTCTGTGGTGGAAATGAAGAAGATAACAGTGACAGTACGGATGAAAATGCCTGTATTAACTCGGGGTATTGTTTCCGCAGAAAAAAAAAGAAGAAAAAAGGCTATGACAAAAATGTCATCTCTAAATGCACTGCTCTGTTTGGAGGTGATGTAACAGGGATTTCGTTTCGATACAGGAGATTTCCATTCAGGAGTCGTCAGCTGTCAATGAGCAAGTGCTGCTTTGAAGTCTACATGGTTGATTAAAATCAGTATGAAATACACTCGAACCAAATATGCTGCACCTGCTTCCAGCTGCCCATCATTATGTTTGATACTCCAAAGCTCCTGGATGGCAGTTTACCTGTGATCTGACCTCATTGTAATATAAGATGTGTGTAAGACTGCTATTTACAACCTTAAGAAATTTCTGGTTCAATACTAAAAACAATATTTTCAAGGATGTAAAACGTGTACTACTAATGGGAACAATTTTTAAATTCTTAACTTACAATCAGATCCAGTTGATCAGCCCTGTCTCCAAGAAATTACATTTACACTCCACCAAATGGACTACTAAGTTATGATATGGTTAAACTCCATAGAAACCAACCAACACACTGAGACTAGCATCAAATCCCAGCAAGGAAAAAAAACATACAAACAGGCTGACCCTGCTGCTCATTAACCAGAGTTCAATACGATAACCCAGAACTGAACTCTGATGGAACTGAGGTATAGATGGGGTTGAATTCAATGTTTGGAGAAATTGCCTTGTGTGTCAGAGAGAGAGAGTGTGTGTATGTGTGTGTGTGTGTGTGTGTGTGTGTGTGTGTGTGTGTGTGTGTGTGTGTGTGTGTGTGTGTGACTCATCAACTTCACCACCCAGTGCAGCTCTTTACTGTCAAGCCCCAATTCTTTAGCACCACTCACCGTTCAGCAATACGACAGAAAATTGAGAGTGCATGCTGACGTCATTTGGAGGGCTCACTTTATGAAACCGCAGCACGTCAGAAGCTCTAATCTCACATTGGCAACGGTCAAAAAAAATTGTCAGAGATAAAAACCCCCTGCTCACCATGAATGGTTGATCACTTATGATGAGTTCTCGGCTAAAAGCAAAGGTCCCCCGGCCGAGATGGGATCCTGCTCTTTCCATTTTCACCCAGTGAATCTAACAACATGACAGCACTCAGACAGCTCTGGGCTTAAGACACAATTTCTTGGATTGGAGAGGAGAGAAGCTAAATCGGCTCCTGTAAGTGGCTCGGTCCACTTACCTGAAAACATTCAGGTTTGTGTTTGAAGCCAACAAAATTGCTGTAGTGTATTACATGATGAAACCTTCACTTTAAAGCTGACCCCCTTTCCCTCTTGTGCAATATAAGGCATGAATCCCTCAGTGCCATTTGAAATATTCTACTAACTTTTCCAGTTAAAGTGAAATTTAAACCTATGGATCTACTGAGTCGCAGCCTTACTTGTAATTAAACACCGTTAATATTCCCAGTACACATCTGACAAAACCACACCAGCCAATTAGAAACAGCTTCTCATTCTTGCCTCATTAGTATGCGTGACATGATTTGACTGGGGATTAATTGGATAAAGAAATCTTTCAGTGCATGAAGCCTTGTCAACTTTATTCAGTATAATTTGAAAAGTTGCAAAGACAATCTCATCATCAAACCTCCTCTGAGTGAGCTCCTTTTGTCATCGTGTCAACAGAGTCCAGCCGTGCATGAGCACTGTTGGATTGGGACATACTATTCTCAGTTGATGTCATTTAACATTTCCACCCAGAAGACATGGCAAAACAGTCCGACGCTCTAGGATACTGATTATAATTTGCTTGATACATGTGTCTTCTCTCTTCTCCCATCTCAGACTTGCAAAAATGTCTGATTTTGAGGATTTCAGCAGGCCAGGAGGGCAGGCAAACGTGTCCGAGAGCTACCAGCTGAACCCCACCAGCGTGATCGTGTCGGTGGTCTTCTCCCTCATCTTCCTGCTGGGCACCATCGGCAACAGCCTGGTGCTGGCCGTGCTGCTGCGGAGCGGACAGGTCGGATACAACACGACCAACCTGTTCATACTCAACCTGAGCGTGGCCGACTTCTTCTTCATCATCTTCTGCGTCCCTTTCCAAGCCACCATCTACTCCCTGGAGGGATGGGTGTTCGGCTCCTTCATGTGCAAAGTGGTGCACTTCTTCATCAACCTCACCATGTACGCCAGCAGCTTCACACTCGCCGCTGTCTCTGTTGACAGGTATGTGGCTGCCTACTAGTCAGTTCCAACAGTAAACATGCTATAGTAGCCTGTTTTATCATTTCCGGCCACCTGTAGCAGGCTTATACAGCGGCGAAAATAAGTATTGAACGCATCAACATTTTTCTCAGTAAATATATTTCTAATTGGGCTATTGACATGAAATTGTCACCAGATGTCGGTAACAACCCAAGTAATCCACACATACAAAGAAATCAAAACATATTCATTCATTCATTCATTTTCTACCGCTTATAGACCTACTAGGGTCGCGGGGGGGCTGGAACCTATCCCAGCATCCTTTCGGGCGAGAGGCGGGGTACACCCTGGGCAGGTCGCCAGTCCATCGCAGGGCACACAGAGACAAACAACCATTCACTCTCACATTCATACCTATGGTCAATTTGGAGTAACCAATCAGCCTAGTCCCCATTTGCATTCGTGCATGTCTTTGGACTGTGGGAGGAAGCCGGAGTACCCGGAGAGAACCCACACAAGCACGGGGAGAACATGCAAACTCCACACAGAAAGACCCTGCGTCCAAGCCGGGACTCGAACCCGGAACCTTCTTGCTGTGAGGCGCCAGCGCTAACCACTGTACCACCGTGCCGCCCCAAAACATATATGTCCATAAATTAAGTTATGTGTTATAAAGTGGAATGAAACAAGGGAAAAGTATTGAACACGCTTACTGAAATTTATTTAATACTTAGTAGAAAAGCCTTTGTTGGTAATGACAGCTTCAAGACGCCTGCTGTATGGAGAAACTAGTCGCATGCATTGCTCAGGTGTGATTTTGGCCCATTCTTCCACACAAACTGTCTTCAAATCTTGAAGGTTCCCAGGGCGTCTTCTATGAACTCTGATCTTCAGTTCTTTCCATAGATTTTCAATTGGATTCAAGTCGGGTGATTGACTGGGCCATTCTAGCAGCTTTATTTTCTTTCTCTGAAACCAGTTGAGAGTTTCCTTGGCTGTGTAATTGGGATTGTTGTCTTGCTGAAATGTCCACCCTCGTTTCATCTTCAGCATCCTGGTAGATGGCAGCAGATTCTTATCAAGAATGTCTCAGTACATTTCTCCATTCATCCTTCCTTCAATTATATGAAGTCTGCCAGTACCATATGATGAAAAACAGCCCCACACCGTGATGTTCCCACCTCCAAACTTCACTGTTGGTATAGTGTTTTTGGGGTGGTGTGCAGTGCCATTTCTCCTCCAAACATGGTGTGTGCTATGACATCCAAAGAGTTCAATTTTGGTCTCATCCTTCTCCCAGTATTTCATAGGCTTGTCCAAATGTTGTGCAGCAAACTTTAAACGAGCTTCAACATGCTTTTTCTTCAACAATAGAGTCTTCGCTCGGTAATGAGAAACCTTTTTATAGGCCATCAATTAGGACTAAACCAGCTGATATTAATTTGCACTGATAGGGGGCAGGATTGCTTTCTAAATACTGACAGATTTCAGCTGGTTTCTTGGCTTTCCATGCCTTTTTGCACCTGCTTTTCTTCATGTGTTCAATACTTATTCACTGTGTCATTTCACTTTATTACACATAACTTAATTTATGGACATATATGTTTTGATTTCTTTGTATGTGTGGATTACTTGGGTTGTTACAGACATCTGGTGACAATTTCATGTCAGTAGCCCCATCAGAAATATATTTACTGAGAAAAATGTTGACGCGTTCAATATTTATTTTCCCCGCTGTATTTGACATTTGAAACAGTTTTAAAATTACCTTGCAATTATAGTGTTGTTAGTGCCACGAGGTTACTACTATTAGCCTAGAAATGCAACTAATTATTATTTACAATTAATCAGACAGTTATTGCTGCAATAATGTTGTTTAGTCTTTTATTTATTTATTTTATTTAATCTTTATTTAATCAGGCAGTCTCTTTTAGATTAAAATCTCTTTTCCAAGAGAGACCTGAGAACAAGAAGCAGTCACAAGAGACAATCAACAACAAAGACAACAGAACTACACAATACAAGAAACTAAGAAACAAATAATTAACAAAAACATTTACAATGATCACAAAATACATCAAATAATAAAGCTTTCAAATCGCCAAGTTTAAGGGCAGTTTGCAGTTCATTCCATTTAAATGGTGCGTAGTACCTGCTGATATTAGTGCATACCATGAGGGATGTCGAGGGTTAAGTAATTACTGGATCGTGTACTGTGGATATTAGATTTACGTGAGAGAAGAGATGTGAGGTAATTTGGAAGCTTCAACATTTCGAAATGTCACAGAATTACAGGTTGACATCTTTAAATTCTTTGTTTTGTTAAAAAAGTCCAAAACCCAAAGGTAGAATTTATGCAGCAAATCAAATATATTCACATTGGGGAAGGTGGAGCCAAAGTATGTTTGGCATTTTTGCTCAATAAATGACTTTAATGATGACTAATACTGGAGTAATTTGTCATTTCTTAACGTTACTTTACATCTGCTATTATCAGAAATTTACAGGGTGGGGTCAAAGTCAGGAAGACAAAGTTTAGTTATTTCACCTTTTCCTTATAGCAGTATTTCATGGGTGTGTGTGTGTGTGAATGGGTTAATGTGGCTGAAGCGCTTTGAGTGGTCAATAAGACTAGAAAGCAGCATATTAGTGCAGACCATTTATCACCCACTAAAATGACTAATTCATGCACCCATCTGCCTGTTTCAATGAATCAATCAAGTAATTCCCTCCTGCAAATTAATTCATACTTTCCCCTGGAATTAATATTCATGAAAATGGATGACTAATTGTGTCCTCTTTCATCCAGATTAATCGCTGTAGTAATCACCTTTACTCCCTTTCTCTTTCTCTTCTCTACACTCTCACAATGTATTTTTTTATTTCATCCTTTGATACATGAATGTACTGTGCACACAATATTGTATTATCCCTGACATCCAAACATATTTATTATGTGCTGTAGAAACATTGATGCATCTGTAGTCTGAAGAAAAAAAACTGAGTGATTCAGGGGCAAAAATGATTAATCCAAGGGAATTAATTATGTTCAAGGGTATGAATCACTAAAGGGAGAAAATAATGTATAATGAGTGTGCAAACTAATAATACCAGGGCAGAAATACTGACCTGAGGGAAGAAGTTCTGAAAGTTTTGTTTGCACTTGAGGATCCTCACTTTCCTGCTGTGTTGTGCCATCCAGCAGATCCTCTAGTGCAAGCATTAAAAGCTGCGCAGGGGCTTCCAGAAATTTTCATGGGGAACACTTCACAACAAAGGAACAAAACGTTAAGTAGGCTAATGCTTAAACTAGTACTCATAATGTATTAGAGCAGGATCAAGCCGCTCTGACTTTATATGTGCCACCAAAATAACAGGATTCCAGTTACATAGGAAAACAACATTTCAGACCTGAGCATTTGATCCGCCTCTGAGCAGAGCAGCACATTTTCTCACAGAAGCTTTTTATTTATTTTCTATCATATTTTTCTATCTATGCAGACAGCTACATTTCTGCTGATTTAGCAGTTTTTATGTCACGTTACAAGCTAGAGGGTAGGAGATGAGGTTTTTATCCAAAAACAGATCAGGGGAGGTTGGACAGGTAAACTCATTTGCAAATGATTACTAATATTAAACAAATGATGAGAAAAAAATGAATGAATTAATTAAAGAAAAGCCTCCAGTTCAACCCCCTCGCTTGCTTATGTGACATAATAAAGACCAACAACATGTAGTTTGGGTCATCAGTTATGCATTAGTTAAGCATGCAGGAGCTCAAGCACTGTATATGTTTTGTACCATTATATGTGTTACCCTTGGAGTGATGGTGTTTGTTAATGGGAATTATATTTATATCTTCTTATTAGTATGGATAGGTTACAACAACTTATAAGACAACCACCATTTACATTTATTTGACTAATTTGAAGATAAAAAAAAAAAAAAACAACAACTCTGGGAATATCAAGAAGAGCAAGACCCCAGAGGTACGTATTAATGAGCCAAAGACCTATAAGGCCTCGTGGAGATGCAGAATCTGTAATTGAATATTTTATGAGACTAAAGCAATATCCGAGGCTGAAAAGTAAATCCCCCACAGAGTAAGCTCTAAGCCATCATTATAGTTGTGGGCTACATTGTCAGCTCAGTCAATATGGACGGAGTCAGTGCCCTCTCCAGCAGACCCCCTCTGCTCACACTGGCTGTGTTTACACTTTAGAGGATTCAATAGATTTTTTTTTAACTCGCCAGCCAGACGTTTCTTCCTCAGTCTGGAAAAGAGCAGGAACATCTGAGTTGGGAGGTTAAAAGATTTCTGCTGTTCAGTTCCTGTGTAACAAGCAAAAAAAGAAGAAAAAGAAGAAGAAAAAAAAAAAGCAGCATCTAACAGTTACACTTTAGTCCAGGAATCCCCTACAGGAATTAAATCACAGTTCAGCCTGAATGAACACCACACACACACACACACACACACACACACACACACACACACACACACACACACACACATACACATACACACTCCTTTAATGGAAAAGTATTTGCTGCCGCATTGTGGAACCCTGAGGTGGATCATGTGTTTACTGTGATTTTATGTTGAAGAACTTTCCACTGTGAAAATGATTTCACATGAAACAAGATGGTTCAGCATCGTTACTGCTGATCAGGGAGTTCATTTGCTCTTGCAGTCTGAAAACAAAATAGCTGAGATCTGTGAGTGCATGTAACTAAAGTAAAAAAAACAAAAACAAGATAATAATGATGCAGAGTTATACATGCAGCCTTCAACACCTAAAAATAAAGAAATCTATATAGAGATTTTATAACCCGTGTTGAGGCTGCAGTCATACATAATGCATATAGCAGTTCACGTACGTATTCGTGCCAAAATCCGGTATGATCATTGGGAGATCTACGCAGACATATGGAAAGAAAATACTATAACAGCAGTCATTTCATTCAACATACTTCTCCCAGTCTGTTTTTTACAGTCTAATTGGTTTGTGATTCAGCAAAAAGAGCAAAACATCTTGTCAGGCATTAACAGACTGTCCACTAGCTCATGCTTTCAAATAAATCTGACAATCCCAGCCAAGCATACAGAGCCCTGTCTAAGTACTCGTAGTTCTCCAAGCCACTGAGCCTCCATATGTGACAAGTAGGTTCACGATATCTGCTTTTTCCCTTTCATGTTGAGCATAAATGTCTTTGTCCCCATTTCAGTGAGGTTTTAAAGACCAGAGAGGCTGTTTTCTCAGTTTCTGGAGAGCTGCCTGAAGTGTCCTGTAAATGGGGATAGAGGGAGGACATGGATTCGCAGCTTTACCCAGAATCCCCGCCTTGGGCGAAAGAAGCTGCAAAAACTGAAACACTTGCAATCCACCGGAGAACATTACCTCATAAAGCAGCAATGCTGAAAATGGTGAACGCGGCTGTGAATGTTCAGAGATGAACAAACCGGGCGTCTGTGTGAAAAACAGTGTGGTGTCATATTATTGACAGAGGCTGGTGCCATAAAAACATCAGGTTCTTCCTTTATCACAGCACCCGGCGTGTGCTGGGATTTGCGTCTTTATTGCCCTACCTGTTCGGAAACATCAAAAGCAAAGCACAAGGCACAGTCATGTTCTGCGCTATTGTCGAGATCAGATCCTATTGAAAAGCCAGAAGAAAAGAAAACCCTCTCTGTGGACATTGCAGCCAGTTTGACATATTTCCCTAAGGTGTTTTTTATTCAATAGAACCCACAAGCTGCTGCAGTGTGAATGATTATCATTCAGTATAGAAACCTTCAGTGTGAGCTGTGACGCTTGTAAGAGTGAGTGTGGAGGTGGCTGCATCCTTAGTGGATATTCCCTTCGTATCATTGACGTGTTGGTGAATCAGTCGTTAGCATGTAAACAGGAACTTGGGAAATGTATTATGAGATTTACACATATCCACCAAAGGTGTCTTCCTTTTTATTTCAGATTAAATTTATAAGGGATTTTATGTTAACAATTTAAACCTTGATATGAAGCTTTAATATTGCTTTAATGATGAACTAGTACAATAATTACACCCTTTTAGCCCATTACTAGCATACTGTACCTCACTGGCTCAGCATGTCCACTAATTATCAGGTTTCACGGGGTTTGGTGGATCACATGTTGTATTATTATTTTTCCCCTTCTAGGTATCTGGCCATTCGCTACCCACTCCGCTCCAGGGAGCTGCGAACCCCTTGTAATGCAGTGGTTGCCATGGTGATCATCTGGGGTCTTTCCCTGGTGTTTGCCGGCCCGTATCTCAGCTACTACGACCTGATTGATTACGACAACAGTACTGTGTGTATCCCCGGCTGGGAGGAGCAGAACCGTAAGGTGCTGGACACGTGCACCTTCCTGTTCGGCTACGTCATCCCCGTGCTGATAGTGAGCCTCTCGTACACTCGAACCATAAAGTACCTGTGGACGGCCGTCGACCCTCTGGACGGCATGTCGGAATCCAAGAGGGCCAAACGCAAAGTCACCAAAATGATCATCATTGTCACCGTGCTTTTCTGTATATGCTGGCTGCCGTACCATGTGGTGATCCTGTGCTACCTCTACGGAGACTTCCCTTTCAATCAGACCACGTACGCCTTCAGGCTTCTCTCTCACTGCATGGCCTACGCCAACTCCTGTGTCAACCCCATCGTGTACGCTCTGGTGTCCAAGCACTTTCGCAAAGGCTTCAAGAAAGTGTTCAGCTGCATCCTCAGTAAAAAAAGGAGAAATAAGGTTCATGTAGTTCACGTGGCCAACACTGTGCCTGGGTTTGAAGCAGGCTCCACAGAGGTGTCTCAGATGAACGAGGAGAACATACGACAGAATGAATGTGAAATGATTAACAGGCCGATCGCAGAGCCAAGAGAAGCCACAGTGACACTGAATTTGCCCTTTCAGCGGCAGACTTGACGAGTGATTCATCGTCGTTGACAGGCTTAGTACAGATTGCCTTTTGTAAAAGACAATGCAGCAAATATTTTAAAAGAAATGTGTAAACCTGTAAACCTAAATCATGATATTCACATTTTTGGTGGAAAATGAATATTACAAAAAAAAGAAAGGTTTTAAGGAGAAAGTGAAAATTTGTTTCCACCATTTGCCTTAACCATGGCTTGCACTTTGATATTTTTTGCAGTATCTGAGAATCCACATTGTTTTAGCACTTTTTCAGAACACCACAGAATATGTCTCATAATGTCACAGTATCTTTCAAATAGATGTTCACAAGGTTGGCAAATGTGGAGGAAAATCCACGCAAGTCAGCAGCATTTGCTGTTCATTTGACTTCAAACAGGGGTTGATGTAGGTTTAGGGTAACTGTACAGCTCATGTACATAAGCCAGACATTCCACTGCAAGGCTGTGTGCATCTCCACCAATGTGAAGTCACCATCGACTGGCCAGTCGTCACCATACCTCCTCTCCAACACCGTGGCTAACTGTAGGTTATTTGATCCGTTGCTTCAGTCTCTCAATAAGGTTGTTTATCAAAGAGGAGCAGGGTGTTTCTCTTTGTTTCTGTTTGTTTTGTATCTTGCATGCAGATGCTGTTCTGTCTTGCCAAGATATTACTGGTATATTTGAATAATGTATATTTTAACTTGAAAACACTTTCAGAAAATTGTTTGCAAACATTATATTCAGTTACACTTCAAATTCATACCAGCATTTAAAAACGTAAATACCTGGACTGAATCCATTCTGGTGTACGAGGTTCAAGAATCAGGTGTGAAAAGGTCTGAATTTAGTAAAAAGAAGTTTATTTGTTCTTGATAAATGACAAAACGGTTATTGGTAGAAGACTTGAGTCTTTTTGGACCCCACATGAAAACTGGAAGCATTTTCTTTCTTTACTTGTATTTTGCACTGATTGTGTTCATTGCATGTTTCTCTTTGGTGTAAAACATTATATATTTAAATGAATATGTTTATCAGTGAGTGCACCTGAACATTTAAGAGTTGTGTATTATATTTAAAAAATGTGTATTTTGTGTATTTAAAACTCTAAAAGCTGTGACATGATTCTGATAATTTACATGGTTTATAGCTTCTCTCTCCAGATGAAAGCAGATCCTCAGTATCTCTCTCTCTCTCTCTTTGTGTGTTTTGCTGTAAGCTTGTGTCCTACCTCAGAGCTGTAAAAAGAAAAATCTTAGCCTCTTAGTTGTTTTTCTCTTCTGATTGCATAAGATGCAATTTTCCTCCTGAGAGACTCATTTCCAAACACAACCTTCTTCTCTGCACTGACCAATTTTCCTCCAGTGTGTTTACTGTGCCCTGTGCATCTACTGTACTTATATAGTCTTTGTTTCTCTGTTTGTTCTGTTTCATCATGTAAAGATTCATCACGTAAACAGCCTGTCAATTTTAAGAATATATCAAAAACTGTTCAAGAGCACACTGTAATACACATTTTACTGACCAAATAAAATATTTTCTGCTGTGAGGTTTTAGTGGAGGTTCTATTCAATTCACAACGTGCATAAATGTGAACAATGTGAAATAAAATAATGTTATTAAACCAAATTATTTATCATCAAAAAGACTACCTCACAATTTAACACTGAGATACTCTGGATATCTTAGCTTTGCCATCAATGCTCTCTTTAAGATCACTGAAAGAGCCATTAACTTCTAATAAAAGTAATTAAAACTTCATTCCTTTACTCACCAACAGCCGTCTCCAGTGGTGGAAAGCAACACCAATGTTAACTCTTGTCTCTAGCACGTCTTTTCTTCGACTGACGTTAGCACGCTCACCAGCTAGTCCCACTCTGCCACCGTTGTATTGGCAAGATAGTGACGGCAGAGCAGTCCACTCTGAGCTTCAAACCAACTCTTCAGAAATCTATGGGTGACGTCATGGAGGCTACGTCCATCTTTGTTTACAGTCTGTGCTCTAGACTTGTAAGTAAACAGCTGTTAATTCTGATGCTGGCTATGGAGCAAAATTTATAAAATTTATAAAAATTTATAAGCTTCCTTTAAAATAATGACCTTGGTTTAGATTTATCATTTCACTATGTAGCATATCCCCAGCTATGACTGAAGCTAGAAGTCAAATATGAACTCTGTACAAACTGTCTGTTCACCTTAATTCATTCCTTGCACAGTTTCAAAGTTTCCTTTAGGCACTGGGACACCTGATTGATTACTGAAGTGGAAAGATCAGGACAATGCTCTTTATCTGTTCCAGAAATACCAGAAAATGTGTTATAAAATTTGCTTCTTACTTAACATTCTTGCTGCCTTACATTGCTGCAGTTTTCAGCTGCAGGAGTGAGAGATGATATTAATGAGCACATGCTGCACAACGGCGCAAATCCCCAAGAGATTACTGCTTCTGTGGGAGGTGAGAGCAGAACTGGCAGCATTACAGGTCATGCCGCACTTTAAAGAAGGCTCTAATGAATAAATTAAAGTCTTGTTTTCATAAAAGAAGGACAACTAAATTGATATTACGTATTGATGTTCAAACTTTTCAATTAAGTTGTTCTTTTTTTAAATCGTATTTCTGTCCGCAAGGCAAAAGAAAGACGAAAGAAATCAATAACGTGTGATGTACAAACAAATGGATGAATAACCATTCCAAATACAGTACATAGGCTAAACAAGCTTCGGTTGCAGACGGATGTCGGATGACATCAGTGGCAAGAACATTGGAGGTATAAGTGGACCAAGACAATGAAGATGTGTTATGAATAAAAGAGGTAGCTGCCTTATAGTCCTTAAAGTAAGACCAGAGAAAAGGACACAATAATACATTGATCAGGTAGAAATGAAAAGCTGGAACCAGGAACAAGCATCATTCATTAGTCTAACAAACAAAAGGATCTTCGGGACAGCATGAGTTAATGTATCTCACATATTTGCAACAATGTGGAGTCCGAAGAGCCCCACTGGAATAATTATACACTTTTACTTGTGGGTAATTAATCAGTCAATGAGTTGGAGTTGCTGTATCACATTTTATGAAACAGTTCTGAAAATGTTAAGAACAATCCTGTCTTCATTTTATTTTATATTTCACAGTATCCCTCTGTATGAACAGTCTGTTATCCTGCTCTATATTTATTATTATAAGTCATTTGAAGTTATTTGAAATACATTTCATTTCTGTGTGAAAGCAATGATAAATATGAATAAACATGGATATAATTTTTTTTTTGAGAAAGTGAAGTGTGCTTGCACGCAGTGGTCTGAGAATCATGGCGTTCATTTAACCACTGATTTCAGTTACACAACTGAAACTGATGCATGTTGCTGAAAAGTCTTTAAAGTCATGGTCTTAAACTTGGAAGCTCTCTCCCAGTGGATTTAAGATCTGTGCGCTTTCATCTTTGATTTGATGCTTCACTGTGAGGCACTTTGTGATGTCTGATCTAGAAAGGCATCACATGAATAAATTTTACTTACTGACACTTACTGCAGAAAGCAGCATTAGTTAGTCAGTTAGTTAAAGGGGTCTAGTCGAATAACCATCTTGTATACAAAAGCTCTTCATAGTAAGATACACCAAAAAGGATCAAAAATGAAGTAAAAATAGAACTGCTGCTAACAGGTATAGTACAATAAAACAACACACATAGTCCAACAAGATAACACTCCACAGTGCAATACAGTAGTACATCAACTATTGTCAAACAGAAATAATACATATAATAATACACAAAAAAAATAAATTTTTGTTGAATTGCCAAAATTGCTTGATAATTATTGTCACACAAAGCAAAGGTTATTGTATTGTAAAAAAATGATTGAAAATGATTCATGATGCCAACATAATTATTCTGTTATTATGGCTTCTTTGGCCGCCCATAGTTCAGGCAACAGCTGGCATAAAAAGACACATTGGTCCAAGAAGTTAGATGTGCTGCTGCTGAAGGAGGGAAGCTTTTACTGAAACACACGTCTTACACTCAATTGACTTAATGTGTAACCACAAAGTGGGGTTAGAGTAGATGTTCTTTAATGGAAATGTTAATACCTTATGGGTTGTAGCCACAGAAATTGGGCCTGTTGGAAGTGACTATTTATAACTATGTCATTGATAACCTTGGTCTGTGTTGGTGCTATGGTTGCTCTGGAAACCACTCTGCAATTTATCTTAGAAATCATAATGGCATGAAGCTGCAGGGAAGCTGCGGGTTTTCATCAATTTCACTGGTCTACAAAAACACCTGTTTAACAGGTAGAAGTTTTGTAGCTGCTTCTTTATGTTCTGCAATTAAATGGATACTCTAAAAACCAAAATTAGATTTAAGGAAGATGTGAGGGGTGGATCCAAAGGGGTAGTTGGAAGGTTTGAATTGTTATGGAGCTCTGAAAAACAGGTAAGCTGCAGGAGGGTAAATGAGATTTCTTCGTTTAGTGACATTCTACCAGATGTGAATCTTTTGTTATTGAAAATTCATTGTATTTAGCAGTGATGAGTATCTGATGAAAGACTGTGCTTATGATCTTCAAATATTATGCAATAGATTGACCCAATGGGAGAAACCTCGGGCAATGCAATTCAAAGGTCTCTCTGAGGATGGCTGAAGATGCAACTGAAGCTGTAGATTGAAATCACTGGTTTATAAGATAGAAGCCAGTACTGGAGTTAGAATGGGCACGCTGTGGCTGCTATTATCAGTTTCAATTCAGAAAAAATGTTCACCAAGATTTTCTTTTTCTTTGTATGCATATAATATAAAGGAAGTTTTCTTCATATTTCAATAGTTGTCTTCTTGTCTATTGTGAGTTCCTGTAATTCTAGGAAATGTTTACCCAAGTATGTATAGGATTACGCTGCATTGAGCAGTGCGAGGTTTCAGTCTGTGGTACACTACAATGATAACATCAGGGCAACCATCATAAATCATTTTAAGATTAAACTTGGTTTAAGTAAATGCTCTGCAAGTTGTTACAGGAGAGGAGGCAGCAGATATGGGTTTAATGTCAAAACCAGACGG